TTACAATTTAAGACAATACAGAGTATTTAAATAAAACACTTTAACGGTTTAAAACGTGATATATTAGTAAACTTATTTGAAAATGGTTTGTGCGTGCTTTGCAGCAGCCGCGGTCACGGGGTCTATATATAGCGTTTTAAACCGTTAGTGTTTTATTTAAATGTCTACCACTCGCGTAAACTATAGACAGTGTACAATAGAGAGTATTTAATTAGGTAATACAATAACCAATTGCTAGAAAATGACATTATAGCTTATTAAGGTAGCTTTGGTTGCCGGTAGATACAGATAACATCATGTTTTAATCTATTATTCTTTTGGTCTAGAATTAAGAAGAAATAGGTATTAGTAGAATCGCGGGCACTCGTAACACTACCGTCAGACAAAAAAGGAACAATTTACTTACATAACGAGTATTAATACGTTAATATTCGTTTGGATGTGAGCCAGGACAAAAGGCCAGGCTAAATGCGCGCCGACTGTAAATGGTAGGCTTAAATGATAACTTGCAACGGAATACCTTGCAGCGAATGCGGGTAGTTTTGCAGCGCTCCCGGAAACTTAAAATTTTATCGTCTAAATACACGTACACGAAAACGTAACATTCAATATCTTTAGACTCTTATTGAACTGCATTTTTATACTCAGCTTTTTCTCTTTTTTATTTAAATAAAACACTTTAACGGCTTAAAACGCGATATGTTAGTTAAACTTATTTGAAAATGATTTTTAACTCTCCCCGTGACCACGGCTGCTGCAAAGCATCCGAAACGTCGGGCCGAAGTGTTTCATTTAAATGTGTACTACTCGCGTAAACTATAGACAGTATCTTATTTATTTACCAATTTCAAAGGACCACTTCAGTGGAAGGAAGGAAAAATTAGTACTGTCTGTAGTATACGTAAACATAAAACACTTTTGACGGTTTAAAACGCGGAATTTCTTAGTTAAACTTATGCAAATTTATTTTAAGTACGGCCCGTGTGCTTTGCAGCAGCCATAGTCAGGAGGGGATAATAAGTATAACATTTTTTTTAAACGGTTAAACATGTTTTATTAGAAAATATAAAACGCTTGTAACGATGTTAATTGCGAAATAAGTCTAATTGTTTTTTATGAATAGTTTTATCAAAGGAGGTTTTATTTCTAAGAAGGTTTTCTTCTTCCACAACATCTCTACAAGTATCATACTTCAAAAAACTTGGAATAAACCCGTGAAAAGTTCCAATAAAATAGCGGCAAGTTTCGTATGATCAATGGAGAGTCATTTGTCAGCAAGAAATAACAGGAAAACCTTTAACTCCGCAGATACAGGGTGATTTAACTTATAACTTTATGAATACTATTTACGAGTATCGGATGTGGTGAGGTCTAAGTTGTAAAGCGTACTACAATAATCTCATCTTTGTAATCTAAATAATATATCTCTTATACTTAGAGATAAAATAATTGTAGTTGTTCATTATACTACGCTTATACGTTTTGATGTTTACAATAGCACTAAGTTACATAAAGAAATAAATCTTTGGAATTGGGTGTAATACAAACATAATATTTAAATAAATAAAATAAAATAAAATATACTTTATTCTCCTTAAAATTTAAAAAAATAATATTTTTTTTCGTTTGTCTGTCTGTTCGTCGTGTTTCTACAGAGTGTTCAAAAGAGCAACATAACTGAGAAGAACACCAAAGAAACTCAGTCCGGCATTTTTTTTAAATATGTTTTATAAACTAATACATTTTTATAGATTTATTAACAGGAGCAATTCATATTACTGCCAGGCGGTCTTGTCATTAAAGAAATCGTTTAGACAATAATACGCTTTTTGAGACAATCTAAGTTTTATAACTTTCTTAAATTTATTTATCGATAAATTTGAAATCTCGAATGGCAATGTATTATATATACGAATACAATTCCCCGCAAATGAATTAGATATATATCTTATAATATCATTACAGTAATTTAATTAATTATCTATACACAATATTGTTACAAGATAACCTCACTTCTTTTTCTTATTACAATTAATTATGAAGAATTTATTTGGCTCGGGGCCGTTGTTAAAAGTAATTTTCAAACAAGTTTAACTAATATATATCGCGTTAACCGTTAAAGTGTTTGATTTAAATTTATATTCCTTGACACAATTTGAAATAAAACGTACGTCACTACTTTAAAAGTTTATATAAATGTCTTTTGGTTTTCCTTTTATTATTAAATAATTAATTTGTCAAAACTTAATGTTATTTAGTACCAATTAACGTTTTAGCTTTTACGCGTAAAATGATTCCGCGTTAGAACAACAAAACACAATTATAACGTTCATCATGCGCGTAATTATTAATATTTCCTCTAATCTCATTCTGCTTTCACGAACAGATCAAAGCTAATACATGTAACATTATAATATTAACATGACGAGTATAACACTAAATATAATTATTGTTAAACATGGTGGGTTTTTAGCTTAAAACACTATATGTAATTACGCAAATTTAATGTATTTCGCTCTTACAGCCATTGGTTACCGATGTATTTTTTTATAGAGGAAAACAGACAAGTATGTTCAGTTGTTAGGAGATGAAATACCTCAGCGATATAACATCTGAATAAGATTTGATACCAACCTATTTTGGCTTTGGATATTTGGAAATCCACTGACAGAAATCTATTATTAACTTTACGGTTTTTTCATTTGTGGACGGTGGTTCGTGATACCGACGAAAATTTGATATTACTTCTCATCCATTTAATATCCAAATTTCCACACGAAATCGAACATGTTTCTATAAGTCAAAATTATTTTAAATCTCTATCGTTATATAATTTTTTTAACTTAACAAAAGAATGGACAAGCATAGTAAAATTATAAAACGTATTTTTAAAATAAGTATGCTGTAAAACAATTTTGTCTTTGATCGGAAATAAAACAGGTAATGACTCGGTTTACACTTAACGGAATTTTGCATCTGTGGACACCACCATAGATCGAATTGGCGTAAACGATGCGATATCCCCAAGACCTATTAAATTATGCAGATATTCCAGACGTGGTCTCATATGTATCACATATCAGAAATTGAATATCGTCTCGTCGTACACCTTATGAAACATTTGATTTAACATGTAACACTGTGTCAAACGTGTAATATCAATTAATCAATTTATATTTAACTACGAACTCATGTTTCCAAATCTTGCAAAGTTCATTGAACCATTTTCAATTTTCTTAAGCCATAAATTCGTATACTAAAAACTACAGTAGGACAAGAATTCCTAAAAGGCTGTTCTTATAATTCTGTTATACGTTTCCTAAATGGACAAATGTTAGTACAATTATTTCTATTCTTTCTGTTGCCAATGGACTTATACAATGTATTTTTCTGTTCGTTATATCATTATTACGTTTTCAATTCCTAACAATCGTGGTTTTACAACACAAGTTACTGTTATCATAATTATTGTACTTTTAGAGGTATGTTCTTTCATTAATTGATAAGTAAATGAAAAAATAAAAACAGAAGGATTTTATAACAAACAAGTAATAAGGACCTCTAATGCGTCTCATTGGTGAAACAAAATGTGACAAATCTATAAAGGTCTTGGATTTGAATCTCTGGCAAGTGTGATAAAACTTTAGGTAGGGCACAATCCGCTCGACTGTGAAACAGACATATGTCTTCCTTATGTCTGACGTGGGAAACGGAATTTCACATAGCAACAGAGGATGTTATAAGTGTTGTGAGATAAATATAGTTTTCCTGCAGATATGTAGTAGGTACATATATCAGCTCCAGCAACCATTTTTCATAATAACAGAATGTTTCTGAACTTAGCTCGCCAAGTTATGTCCCTAATTAAAAATTTCGACTACCAATTTCTGTTTTAAATTCTCGCTGGTAAAATATGTTATACAATTTGTAAACGTCAAAATTTATGAATTCTCGCGAGGGCAAATATTGGCGTTTCTTGTTTAAATAAAAAGCCAACATGTGTTTTAGGTTGATAATTTTTCTCGACAACCTTTCTCGCTTAAATACCAAATTGTTAGTGTAAAGGCAAACAAGAAAAAATAAAATATTTATTACTCTAGCATTACACTGGAAAATATATAAATTATTTAAGAAAGAGGATGATTATTCAAACGAATTATGTTTTATATGAGTTTTATGGTGTACGGCGTGTAAGAAAACTATGGTAAGCATGAGATATATCTTCATTAAGAGGTATTATATGTAAAAAATTGGGATAAAATACCGTTTCTGTTCACAAAGAGTACGCAATTATGAATCTGAAATCTTGAAATCTTTTAAGAAATATTAATTTAAATTACATGTTACTATTTGCGACATCTCTTGAAACTTAAAATAAATAGTACACTTACAATTTTTTACTAATCACTGTAGTGTGTAATTTTTAACCTAGATGTCGCTATACACAAAACACAAATTATAATAAACATTACAGATATCAATAATTATATGCATATTTTATTTTATTTATTTTATACAATATAAATAAATAATTTTGATACAATATAATTATTATTATTTTATTAATTCTCACCACAGAGTATGTATCGAGTTTTCTAGTCTATGGATAATCTAAGTCGATGTCTCGGTAAGTCCATTAAAAACAAAAGTAAAAGTCTATGGTATTTGTGTCGAATGGAAATAAGACGTCGGGTGTTTCGCCGGTGAACAATTTATTTCAATTATCATGAGTGAGCTCACTTGAGCGCATGAGTTGTGTCTCCATTAATAGAGAAATCTGTGAGCATTATTATTTGCGGAACGGAACCATTTTATCAACAGCCTTACGACAAATAATGGATTGGTTCGAAACAGTGACGTCTCGACTTACAACCTTGGTTGTGATTTTAAGAAAAAGTGTATTTTGAAAATATTTCCGAGCGTTTTCTACTAGAAAACGTTTGTGAGATAGTCGAGTATTGTACGCAGTGATAGTTCTGTGCTATTGACTGATCGGTGCTATGTCGGGCGGCAGGAGTATCGACAAGGAACGCAAGTCGCCCAGAGAAAGTGGCGAAGACTCCGAGGATGAAAGCGAAATCCTGGAAGAAAGTCCCTGTGGGCGCTGGCTCAAGAGACGAGAAGAGGTAAACGCTTAACTTTACATTAAATTACATTTCATTATCGGCCTCGAATGGAAATCAGGACAGAAATGTCATGATATCGGTGCTGTTACACATTTTAAAATCTAAGACGCAATACCTTGTGCCCTTCGTAACTTCAATGAATCGTAATTAGGTATTATCCTACATCTACTCAGCTGTATCAGTTCTTGAGTTGTTTATTTTGGTTAGTTATTTGTCAATTCTTGGCAACAGACTGCAAAGGCATTGACAAACAATTTGATTATATACTTTTAATGCACAACATAAAGATTATTAAACTATTACTATCCTGGTCTAGAAGCAAATTTATACATATATACTAACTAAATTTATATTTAAATATGTTTAATGATCTAGCAAAATGTGTATTAGATAGTCTAGGATCTTTTAGTCAGGATATTTTAAAACTATAATAAGGTGCTTAGATTGTCCATCAATCTTTTAAAATATTATCTAAGTTCCTTACTTTTACCTTAGTTGAAACCTTTACTAAAGTACAGCACAAGAAGTAACACTTTAATTTATGTCGAAAGCCATATCCTTATAATATGTTTTAGTTTTATAGGTCTTGTTAAACATCTTTATTAGGACCTGGTCTTTAGAAACAAGTTCCACTCAACAATTGCCATTAACGGACATACATATATACCCATTATGTTTTCACCACAGGCATACTTCAAGTTTTGTGTTACTTGGAATTCTTCTACGCTCTTTACCTATTAGTTCTTTTTGGGCCAAGTCTAGCCAAGCAATGCTATATTTAATGAATATTTTAATTAACCGTTGTATAATACTCAACCCCTAAATTGTTTGAAATGTTCTACCCAGTTATTATATATATCTACACATCAATTTCTAGAATTATTGTAACATATAATTTCCCGTTTGTTCCTAAAATGTTTATTAGCAATGACATACATTGAAGCTAAGTAATTGTTAAAATTTTTGAATCCTGGAAAATGTTTTCTATTGTTTCATTAGTACAAAGAAGGGTTACAAATTTATAACCTTTACTCTTGTTTACTGTCTACACTTGTAACAGTAAAAAAAAAAAAATTTAAAATGTCAATACAATTAATGTTAAAAAAGACTTGATACATACAGTTCTGGAATGAAAGTCTAGAAACAATTCAATAGAAAGTCTATCGAGAAAATAGAAATTATGTATTTTTACCAATCTTGCAAAGATGTACCTGCTTGCCTCCCTATTTGTAAAGATCTATCAACAATAGAAATTAGGTGATTTTTCTCCACATCTCTTACACTATGTGAGAATACATTAATTCTATATCTATATCAGAAGAATCAATGTATTTTAATCGGATTTAAAAGGTCGACTTTTATTTGACTTTGATGGTTTTATGTTCACGTAACAAGTTAATTACAAAAGCCATTCTTGATACATCCCACATTAAATGAACATTACATGTCAATGAATGATAGTTAATTAAGAAGCAATTGTTTAACCGCCCGACTTTCCCTGCGCGCCGGTCGTTGAACCTCCGATTCGGCGCTTGCGCAATTTAAACTCACTGTCACTTTCTACACTAGGCTCATTTTTCATTATTGCCAACATCTTGATTGATTGTCAATACATTCACTCTAATCTATTGCTCAATTTTTAATGCTAATCTTTGGTGGATGATTATTCCAACACTACAGTTAGTTCTCCACTGCTAAACAAGTTCTATCTAATATATGCACCAACATTGAGTTACCATTCTAATGAATACTTAAACTATAACTATTTCATTTCTGGCCACATTGTTTCCCTTTTTACACCCAAAGATCTTCATTCGAGTTAAGATACTGCGCATACCAACCTAGTACATTAATAGCATCTTTGAGATTTTAGATGGACAGTTGTATTTCTTTTAACAAGCAACGATTAATGAATTACATAGCAGTAAAAAAACCATTACATTTATCTTAATAAATGTAATGGTTTTTTCGGATGTAATGGTTAAGAGGTTTCTTATAAGACATTAACTTTTTAATTATATGGCTTTAAGTTTTGAATAGTCACTGAAACCAAAAAAAATAGTCTTTAATAAAGATAATGCTTTTTAGTTGGATTTTACAGCGTTACTTAGTATCATTGAATGCCTTCTCACTTGATATACGTCTTTACTGCTTGTTAAAAGTAGTTAAAACATGAATATTAAGCTAGTTCATGATCAAAGGCACAAAGAAGACTAATTTTTTTGAGCTCATAATTAAAAGAAGCTAAAGCAGAAATTCTTTTCATTAAGCTTTCTGAATAGGATTTGTTTTATTTCATACTGGCTTCATCTACAATCTTATTTACATTTTATTCAGTCTTTGTAGAGTTGTAGAAGGCAGAATTTTTAAAACTGTATAAAAGTTAAAGAAGTTATAGGTAGGTAGGTATAGAAGGTAGGTAGTTTTTTTGCATTCGCTATAAAAAGTTTAATTGAAGATTAACATTCTAGTGGTAAATGGTATTTAGAATTTTCTTAGTAAATGTTTTTACTAGCCTCTCGGCTCTTTAACGCTATGGTGTCACGAACGACAGATCCACAGCGTGCCAGTAAACGTAAGAGCCCGCTGACCCTCACTGGAATAGGGCGGTGGGTCTTTACGAGAGGCCACTAGTAGTGGTAGGGCCTTTATGAGTGATTATGTTAAACTAATTTAAACATGCAGGGAATTATTAAGCTACATTGCTTTTCAAATACAAATAGTAGCGCGGGCGCAATTTTTTTTTAATCCTACAATTATAAAATAGTCTTAGGTTAGAATTTGTGGTTTAACAATTAAATTTTGCAATTAACATTCCCGCTGAGATGTCAACTGGCATGGAAAACGGACGACCTTTATCATCTCTAATACTTGCACATAAGTACCTATACATATGCAATATGTAAATGCATTGTAGCTAATTTAATAATTATTAATAATAAAACTATGCAGTTTATAAATATTTATAAATAAGTTATTTAATCGAGTTATTATTGTTAATTCTTATCGCGGATTGCGCAATAAATTATGTGATATCATGTTTAAACTGTTTTACTACCTGTGAGATAATTTTGAGGAAAACAAACAATTTGCGTTGAACTACATACGCCTCCTGGCGTTACCTGCGTTAGGAAAGAAATTGAACCTATCAATTCGTTGGGCGTAAAAGAGGATCTAAAAAATATGATATATTTAAATAAAACACAATTACTTAACGGTTCAAAACGCGCATTGTATTAAGTAGTAAATTATTATATATTAACAGTTTGACAGACTCGTTAGTTCAATGATGGCAATGGGTGACTCAAAATTAACGGGTAGTGGATTCCTACCGGCTCAACATATTTTTAATGAATCCATAATGTTTTCTGAAAAATACTGGACTTTGTCTGGTTATCTAAATATTAAATGTGTGCTAAGAATATCGGTATGTAATAACTCCGGGATCCCCTTCCATACAGAGTAATATGGCTCGTCCGACCCCGTCTATCATAAAAAAGGTTTTTTATTTTAATATGTACTACTCGCGTAAACTACAGACAGTACTTAAATATCATATTTACACCAAAAAGATAGGACATCAAATACTGTCTATAGTTTACGCGGGTAGTACACATTTAAATAAAACACTTTAACGGTTTAAAACGCGATGTATTAGTTAAACTTATTTGAAAATGATTTTTAACTAATACATCGCGGGAGATTTTCAAATAGTTTAACAATAAATCGGGTTAGTAAGTTTTATTTAAAGAGTAGGACATATACATACTGCAAAAAAAACACATTCTTTCTCACTCGTCTTGTACTTTTAACTACATTATTAAGTGACTAATGTTAGCCAATTCACGCGCCAGTTTGAACTATTGATAGCGGAACACGGCGATGTGAGAATTCGCTTGTACTATCTAAAACCAGTTGGAAAACGGCTTAATCAGTACCCATCAGCGAATCTAAAAATAGCTCCTTTCTAACCCGCGCCCGTTAGGACCTCTTATCCGTCATCGGACAAGTCATTCATAATGATCGGTCTGTTTTTTTGTCATTACTCATCGAATGACCCTAATTAACTCACCGCAAGAAGCATAATGGCTTAATGTTTCCTATTCTTATAGGTCGTGATCTCGACTTGTAAGCTTGTTTGGCGAAAGTGAAAATTAATTTCACAATATTTTATAGTTCAAACATATACTTAACTTTCTAATGTTTTCAGCGTAATATAATATAGCTTAATTTCAGCTGCTTAGTTTCTGCGACTTCGTCCACGAGGTATTTTGGGCATCATATTATTTATTTTTACAAACAACCTCCTAAGCTTTTCTGTTTTAGATTAAGGCGTCGTCCGCGTCCCGTAGTTCTTGCGAGTTTAACTGAAAAGGTAGATTGTCGCGGGATTTTTTTTAGATAACTTAAAGAGGAATCATTCGTTTAAATAAAACACTTAAACGGTTTAAAACGCGATATATTAGTTAAACTTATTTTTGAAAATGATGTTCAACTTCGGCCCGACGTTTCGGATGCTTTGCAGCAGCCGTGGTCACGGGGAGACAGGGGTCACACGAAACGTCGGGCCGAAGTAAAAAAATCATTTTCAAATAAGTTTAACTAATATATCGCGTTTTAAACCGTTAAAGTGTTTTATTTATATGTGTTGTACTATTCGCGTAAACTATAGACAGGCATCATTCTTTCATACATATTTTTTGGGTATTTAGAACCGGTTTCGCAGCGACCGCAGCGGGAACCCACAAGTATGGATAATTTTTCCTATTTTTCCACATTTCCTGCAGATTCGTCGCTTCTATAAGTGGCAGCGCGATGTTATAAATGCCCCAAGCAACACGGAAAAAATTTTTCAATTCAAACTAAGTTCCTGAGATCCCGTTTAAACAAACATACATACTTTTCAGCTTTGTACAAATAAAGAATTTTTACTGTACTATTTTTACAAGACTGTAAACCATAGTCATTCAGTTTTAAAAGCATGTTCGAAGTAGCGCAAT